ATGTATATATTACATCACTTGACTTCATTTCCGCATAAAGTAGGCGAAGGCATTGCAGAGGTATCTCACGATTTTTTAAATTTATTACTAAGAAAAGATAATACTAAAATCGAGACCGTCTTGTCAATCGGGTTTCTCTCTTGTAAAATTTTTTGCTTCTTTGTTTGCACTTTTAAACTGTTTTTCTTGTAATATGTATTATGTGTGTACAATGTGTACAAATATGTGTGTGAGCTCAGATCCATAGGTTCAAATGACTTAGCAGTTCAATTATCTTTGCAGGATCAAAATCAAGATTCGATCTTGTGCTCATTGCGACATTTTTGAAATTATTGACAACATAATTCACGTGAATCTATTTTATCAACGATAAAATACTATTTGTTTAACAATATCATTGGATGGTATGCAAGTTTAAATAATAATAATGCACATACGCCAATATACTAGTGTATATAATATAGTATATAATATAGTGTTACGTCCTACGTCCTGTACGGACCTTTCCTTTGCACAAGTTTCTCACGACCAGTCGGGAAAGTTCAAAGAAGCGTTCCGAGAATATTATTTTAATGATTTAAGATCCCGAATGTACTATAATAATCTTTTAGGCCTTCAATCGAAAATTTGTCGAGATAAGACACTCGACCGCGATAGTAGACTTTGAATTTTCGCCGACAGAAAAGCCGACGGAACGATAAACATGTCATTCGAGCAATCTATCTATTAATCTTCAAACAACCTTTTTTATCTTATTTTTATTAACAACCTCTTGGAAGGAATGTCTCCCTTCCAAAATCCAAAATTTCGAGTATAAAAGAAAGACACCTATCCGTGAAGCAGGTAGTTAATATAGTTCTCTCAACATCTCTGAATCTAACTCAATTATTATCGAATCTTAGTTCATACTTTAATATATTAGAAAAACCGATTGTATCTCAAAGTGCTTGTATATCAATAATTATAGTAAACGTGTTTGTTAAACAATATTTCGATTAAAACCATTTCTCACACATTCAACCTACCCCTGCCTCATTCCTAATTGTTTCTTCAGATCAGCACTCAGTATCGATATTTTCGGTGCGGACCACCGCACGTGGTTTCGATTTCTGTATCCCCGCGTATCGTGGTGCGGCCCACCGCACGCTTTACGCCTAAAATTTCTGGACTAACATAAAATTCCTTTCTTATCCCTAAATCCAAAACTCGTCGCGGAGGAGTGAAGTACCGCGCGCGGCAATTGCTTCTCCAACATATTAAACCAACCTCCAAGCAATATTCGTTATACATTGGTGTGAATACGGACCACTGAACGACCCAAGAAAATCCAGATATATTTCCAAGACATCCAAGTAGTAAGTCAAAACCTTCACAATTAAATAATTATTAGTTGTAAGACCTCTCACCTTCCTCTTCTACCCTCTACCTCCCCCCCTTTCCTTAAAATCACACGAGGTTCCATCCTTGGTAAAAGGAATTAAGTCTCTTGACCAGAAAACGGAACCACGAACGATTGGTTGAGGTCTCTAACAGAGTAAAATCGATCTTTACGATCGTTGACCTGTTCTCAGCCAAAGAAAATCGTTTGGCTAGCGCGGTCGCCTCTCCTCATACCGACCAGCGAGCAAACACCATAAAAATACTTTT